TTTTTTTACTGGGCTTATTCTCAGCTATTGCAGTTATATTCCTTAAGAAGTGAACACTCCTTGAAAGGTGTTATTTGCTGTTTTATGAATCTTCGTGAAGAAACTATTTTCCAGCGTTCAATTCTGCCTGAGGGAGCGTCTATACGATATTCGGTCGAAAGTAACGGTATTGATGCGAGTAAGAAAGCGGTTTCAAGTAGTTCACTTGATGCCAGGTAATGGGGCTCTTTTCAATGAGATCAACTGGTTTCTAAACTGATGGGAGACCTGTTGGATTCTTTTATGGTTTTTAGCTCTAGTGGGACATTGAACCTAAGATCGCGTGGGGCTGCAATAGGATCCACGATGCTAAGTATGCTTGACTACTTCGAGAAAGTCCAGTTCAAATGCAGTCGTGAATTCCACATCATCTCCTTCACTGTAAGTGTTTTGGATTTTCATCTATTAGTTGTTATTTACCGTTGACTCCCGCAGTTCTCGAAATATTGGCCAGATTTTTATGGACTATTCTCCCTGAATGTTTAACTTGCCTATGGCTTCGTCCCAAAAGAAAGACTGATCTCCTGATGCGAATATTTCGTATCGGCGACGGCTCTAAGTGGATGCGATATTAGCATTTAGGGAATGAAACCTCTTCAGGGGACAAATTTTTGCGCGCTCAATAGGCTTAGGTATTGTGGTGATAGTCAATCATGTGCATGTAAAGTGTTTTTACTTGAAGAGTGCATAATCGCACCATATCGGAACGTATCGATGCTGCCCGTATATTTGCATCCATGAGAGATAACAGTGTGGATTCGTTCCGTTCGTCAGACCATTCGAGCAGGAGGCCGACGGCAGATGGACTCGAAGGTACCCGAAGATTTGTCGCGTTTTTTTTAGGTTACGGGGAAATCGAACTCTTTGAAGGTATACGACTTCGAACACGCACTCGAAGAAGCTTGGACCACCTGGCTTGCGCTCCTCCACCGCTTCCTCCGCGTACGCATGCTGCTACATCAAACGATAATTTATCTAATGATAGAAATTTCTTTACTGAACCACGACATAATAAGGTGAGTGGGCACTACTGGGCGTTGTGGAAAACTCGGCGCTGTTTGGCATGGAGGGGCGTTTT